TTTTTATCTCATCCAATAATTAAAATATTCATTATAATTATTGAATTAAAATTAAAATATTTATGAAAAAAAAGAATGAAAGAAAGAAAAAAAATGAATGAAAGAAAGAAAAAATATTCATTAAGATGATCAATATTCTATTCAATCTACGATTATATATGTTATATTATGTTAATTTAAAATATATATACTATAAAATAAACGAAATCATATAAATATATATTTAATTATATAATATTTAGAACAAAAAATATAATCACATGCACAATTATGAAAATAATTTATATTTTTATAAACAAAAAAAAAATATATGAAATTATTTTTTCATATACTTTTATATTATATATGCAATAATTATATTAAATTACATTAAGGATTGAAAAATTGTTTGAAGAACATCATATGAACAAATATTATAATAAATTATAAATAACTTATATCAATTTAAAAACTCTATTATTAATCTCTATTGGTGTAATGTATATATGTGATTTCTAAGTACAAATTATATTAATCATAATATTTTTATAATATGAGAAGCTATATATATTATAAACTTTTTTTAATAATATCAAACACCAATTAAAACAAAAATTATATAAAAAACACCAAATATTTTCAGCTCTCTTACTACACGCAAAATTTTGTCAATACGAATGTTAAATACCGTTATATACTTTTTCGTCACGTTTTAACTACGTATGTGGTTCATTGAATTCATGAGATGGCGATCTCGTAAAAGTAAAATAATATAACCTTTTAACTAATCAAAATATTTACATTTTAAATCATGTCATATACATTCTGACTTATTTTTCATAAATTTATATATAAAATGATATATTATTATATATTTTAATTTTTTATTATATTTGTATATATTTTTTATATATTTTTCAAAAACTATATTTTTAAATTATTTTAAAATTATTTATTGAGATTAAAAAGTTGTAAACTTTTAATAAGTTTATAATGACATATAGTGATATATGATTTTATCTGTTTCTACATAGAAATCTTTTAATTTACAATAACTTACAGATAACGATATTTATGGAAAATTAAAAAAAAATTAAACAAAAAGAATTAAATTTATACAATGCACATAATAGATAAAAATATCTAAAAAATATAAAATATAAAATAAAGTATATTATGATTATTTATACACAAATATTTTATCGTTTTTTATTTTATATTTTTTTTACTAATTTTTAGTTTTTTTTAATATTTTTTTTATATCATTTAATTATTTACTATAATTTATTTTATAGGATAATTTCAATAAGAAAACAATTAGAAAACTAATATTTTACATATATACATATATATATAGTTATAATTTATATTCTTAAATATTTTAAATATATTGTATACAATTTTTATCATATGATAATTGCTTTTAAACAGATATATTTATTTTTTCATTAAATCGTAATGGTTGACTTGAATGTAACAATCCACACATCTGAGATAATATATTAATGGCAGCTACATCTTTTGCTTCTGCAACAGTTTGTCCAAAACCTACAAGTATGATTTATTAATTATTTATTATATTATTAATTATTTATTATACATATTACATCAAATTTGATATTATTACCTGATCCCAAATATTCTTTGTTTGCATAAATTCCAATATGATAAACTGATAAAATTGTGTTCTTGCCAGCTTGTCCAATAAGTCTTGCTTCTATAATTACTTTCCTTTTCATAGAAATCATATCAGTTAATGTTTCAAATGGTTTGGTTGGACACCATATTTCAGTTAAATCTTTGCTGGCTAATCCTGCTATTAAAAAATCTCGAACAAAAATACCTGCATGATTGACATCAACACTTTCTGCAAGCGCTCCCACAAGTGCTAGAAATGTTTGTGCCAATGTTTCTTGGGATACAGGATACTCCTAAATGTATATGGAATTACTAATTTATTACTATATATTTTTTACATATAATATATAAAAAAATTAATGTTTTACTTAATATAATAAAATAAAAAATTCAAAATGCAACAAGTACAATAAATTACATATTATATAATAAGTATATACAAACACCAGTCAAAATAATGTCTTTTGTTCCAATATGCAAGGATGCTGTAGCTAATAGTTCTTGAGACATAAGATAGTCATGAAATGCTCTGAAACAATATTTATAAATATGTAATATGAAATCTGATTAATTAAATTATTTTATACATCAATCAGATATACATATACTTATATAATTTATACATACATATATCATTATATATATATTATTTATACATACATAATACCATTTTCAGGAAGACTTGGTAAATTTTGGTTTAAATATTTTTTTATAACTGCTGATGTTATTTCCTTTCCTTTTTTAATAAATTCCTCATTATTTTGTACATCAAATAAAGGTTCTTTTATTCCCATTTCTTTCTGTTTTTTTATTTCTTCAAGAATATATGATTTATGTATAAATGCTTGATTCAATTTCTCAGTATTAAATTTTTCTGAAAGTCTTTCATTAAATGCATATATTTCTGCATTTCTATTCCATTCAATAAAACTATTACGATGTGATTCAATTTGAGGTAATTTCTTCTTTCTTCTAGTTATTTCTTTTTGAGTAGGAGCTACCCATCGTTTAATATGTCTACAACCTACATTTATAAATATAATACTATACTTTTATATATAAATAAAATTTTCTTTTATAATATTTGTATATAATTAAATTTACCTTCATAATTTATATATTTTATATTTGTAAGTGTTTGAAAATATAATTGTAATTTATTCATATTTCGATTATATAAATAATATTTATATAATTAACAGAATTTGTTATTGATTTTCTTTAACTTTAAAAAAGTATTGTTTTTACTGATATCGTAAATATAATTTAATATATAATATTTTTTAGTTATTTTTATACTGTTTACACAATAATGTTAACTTGTATCCTATAGTTATCATTTTAAACATAGAATGTTTCATATTTTTAATCAAGAATCATGAACATGAACGCAAAATTGTGATTATCGCCAACTGAAAATATAAAACTTACTAGTTTATGATAACAATAATAAGTATTTTAAATATTTTCTTTTAAAACACATAAATTTTTAAATTACATCAATTGTCAATAATTATTTCTAATTTAAAAAGACAATTAAATATGAAGAAAAAAAATATGAAAATTTATAGATTTCATAAAATCAATTAAAATAAAAAAAGTAAAATTAAAAAGATTATAAGAAAATCAATGAAAAACAAAACTTTATTTACAGAGAAGAAAAAATGATTTTATAGAATTATATTTTTAAAATATATATATAAATTAGCAAAAAATTAATAAAATATATTTTTTAAATTTTTATATTAATTTGAAACTTAAATTTAACGCAGAATTTATTTTTATGATAATAATTATTAATATTTCTATTGTTAAAAATTTATTAAATATTTTATAGAAAAAATATAGTAATAATAATTAATTAATAATAATTCAAATAATAATAATTAATTTGAATATTTTTGTATAAAATATAATATAAACTATTTTTATATTGAGTCGTATATCTACATTCGTATTATCCTATGATAAATCCAAGTGATATAAATATACTTATATGTAGATTGTGTCAATAAATGAAACGCATATTTTCATAAAATTTATATAATTAAATCGTATTAAATCTTGATAATTTGATATATTATAAATATAGATGATTATATATTATCGATATTAAAATTTTTTTTATGTGCAAATTTTAATGAATATGTTTTTATATTAATTATTATATATATCAAGATGTTGATTTTTTGTAACGTAAATAAGTAATTTCATAATCATTCTATTTAAAAATAAAATTTAATTCATGAATATAATTATAATAACGGAACTAATAATTTTGAACAATGTTTAAATCAAATCAAGAACCTGATATACCTGCAGCATTAGGTCTATTGTCGCATCTAACAAACGACGAACTAAAAGAATTATTAAATGATGATTCAAAATTCGAAGATATTGTGAAAGATGTAAAACAAGTAATTTATATTTTTTTTATAATTATTTTATTTTTATTTTTATAATTTATAATTTATAATTTGTTCATTATAAAATTTTATATAATGATTTCAAATTTTATTTTCCTCTTAGTTTAAAAATTTAGAAACTGAAAAGGAATTATTAATGGCAAGTAACACATCTCTAGCAGAGTTTAATTTATCGAAACAACCTGAATTACAAGAGGGTAAACAAATATTAAAAGAACTTAGTGAAAAAGGAAATAAATTATGCATAAGTGTAAAAGAAAAATTAGAAGAAATAAGTATGTATTCTCATGTTACATTTAATAATTTTAAAATGTGAAATAAAATTAATAATGAAATCAATAATTAAATTATTTATTATTGCTATCATTAATATTATATATTGTCATAATATAAGTAATATATTTTAAATAATATATAATAATAATTATAAACAGAATTCAATTTATTTAATTTTTATTTGTAGAAAATAAATCTGGAGAAATGACTGCTGATACTGCATTAGATTTATTGCAAACAGCAGCAGCTGAAATTGAAGAAGAATCAGAAGTATGATTTTATTAATAATTATTATAATTATTAACATACATTGCTAATCTTGTAAATAATAGATTAATATAATAACTTTAATGTTAAATTTCATATTATTAATTCTCATTATCTTTTTTTATTTAATAAGTTTATTTAAGTAAAATTTACTTGATTGGCAATGTATTAAGATCATTAATATTTTACTAATATTTATATTATATTTTTATATAATATCTTTATTTTTTAATACAGACCATAGCTGAAAAATTTTTGGCTGGAGATATAGAAGTCGATGAATTTTTAGAGCAATTTTTATCACGGCGTAAATTAATGCATTTACGTAAAGTTAAAGTAGATAAATTAAGAGAATTAATAAGAAAATCTCATACCATGACTAGTGGTCCTGGATATCCAATTGCTAGTAATTTTCATAACTTAGTTCCTGCAATTCCTTATCCAACTGGACCTGTTTCAATGCCAATGCCTGTACCATCAGGTTTATCACATTATAGGCCATATTAAATTATATCTGATATAGAATGATGTTATATATTTAAAACAATTTAATCTTTAAATATTAAATTTTGCATTATATATAAGAAATATTTTAATTAATAATAATTTTAATGAATAAAAAGTATGAATATTGCATATAATAAAACAATCATTAAATCAATCATTTTAATTTAAAGTTAATATAAAGTTAAAGTAATTTATAAGTAAATTAGATTTTGTAATGTTATTATAATATATTTATATATAGACTTCATTTCTTGAAATATATATTAAAATTACTATATATGTAAACTATATACATTTTTAAAATAAGAATATCTAGTATTTTAATATACAATAAATAAAGTAATTATATATATTTAAAATTTTACAAATGATTTATTTTGATTCATATGTTTTTTTCTATAATATTTTCTAATATTGACATTTAATATTAGTTTTTTAGTTGATTTGATTTAATATTAATAGTAATTAATTCAAATAAATGTATTTTTTTTTAAACATTAATAACTAATTATAATAATTATTTTATTATTAAATTAATTTTAGATTTAGAGTTTTTAATTATATTAAATGTAATAGGTATGGTTCATTAAATCAATTTTTAATTTAATATAATTAATTAGCAATTAATAATAAAAAATTCATAGACAAAAAATTAAAATTTTACATATATTTCTGATTTATCTGTTTGGATAAATGAAATAAACTTAATATTATATTTTATACACATATATTTTGTTTTATATTTTTAATTATAATGTTCTCCTATATAAAATCTTTTAAATAAATAATAAATAATTCTAATCAATTGATGTTTGTGATTGATGATTCTATTTTTTTTCCTATTTCTTTTTATAATCATTTTTTTCTATTGATATTTTCAAATATAATAATATTGTTATTATTATTATTAAGATTATTGAAGAAGAAAGATTTAGCGATTTATTTACATTTTCTTTAATATTTTCTTTATATCTTTTTTCTGTATCTTTTATATGTAAATTTTTTTGAAATAAATCTGAATAATGTTGTTTTACCCATTCATCAAAATCATAAATTCTCCCTGAAGTATTACCTGTATAATGATAACTATTTTTTGTTTCATTAACATTGTATGTTTTCATTTTCTTGTGTTTATGATGCAAATGATCATATTTGATTAAAGTTCTATCATATTTCTTACGTGTATTATATTTGCTAAGTACATCGTATGCATTTGAAATTTCATGAAACATTTTTTTTGCATATTCATTTTTATTCTTATCAGGATGATACTTTAATGTTAATTTATAATATGCTGATTTTATTTCCTTATATGTAGCAGTTGGAGGTACTCCCAAAACATCATAATATGTTTTGACTTTTGTACTTAAATTTATTTTTGTATTTAATGTACTCTGTACAACTTTTTTATTTATATTTATCATCAACAAATGAATAAACATAATTATATCTTGAGATATAGTTTTTATGTTCTTTCACATATTATTTTATAAATTTTTATATATTTTATATTATTTTTATTAAACAACATTAATATAACCTATAAGATGAAAAAATGTAATTGAATAGATATTAAAATATATTACGAATTGTTAATATAATATTATAATAATTTAAAATCATCATATTAACTAACCAAAATAACTATTGTTTAATTTTATATATATTTATAATATATTTATTATTATTTTTCTTTATATACAAGGCATAATATTAAAATATATACATTTTATATACATATATATACATATAATATATATTTATATATAATATATATATAAAATAATAAATATTAATATTAATTTACAACATTTATATTATAGTATTTCATACTGTACATGTAATATTCTATCAAATTTCATAAAATATATTAAAATTCTATATGTTAAAAAATTTTCAAATACGCGAAGAGGCACGAACTGTCAAAAACCATGTGTGATTAATATAGATTGTAGATCAATAGTTTTGATTTTTGGTTAATAACTATAATATAAATAATATAATATAATGTAATAAAAAATAAAAATTTAATTTTTTAAATTAAATTTAATTAATATAAACATATATGCTAATTAAATTTGATGCAAATAATAAAACAAAAAAATTGATTTAATCATTACTAAACGATTACAAAATACTTAATATTATAATTTTGATTTTAATTCTAATAATTGCAAGATTTAATTTTTAAATAAATGTGACAACATATTTGAATTGAAAATCCATTTCTATATATAAAATAAAAAATCAACTAATTAATATAAATGTGTTATATACATTATATTGCATTGTATCATAGTCATAATTGTTATTTATCATAATTATAATATATAATATATTATATTAAAAAAATAAATATTTTTTAAAATTATGAAAAATTATAGGTTATATTTACATTATAATCAGACTTTTTCATTATTGCTAGCACAATATATTAAGTATTGGACTTTAGTTTTATTTATAAATTTAAAATAAGTTTATAAGTTTGAATTATAATAATATTGATAATGAAAATTTATTTATTATTCACAAATGTATTAGAAATTTTTTATAGATTCCATTATATTTAAAAATTGTATAATGTAAATAATAATTCATTGAATTATATTAATTATAATATAATAAATAAATAAAATAAAACAAATATAACAATAAAAACAAAAAAATAACAATAAAATAAATATAATAAAACAAATAAATAAAATAATAATAATTCATTGAATTATATTAATTATATTGGGCATTTTTAAATAACATTGATGTCGCATCTAAGTATGTGTATATTCTTGGAAAAAACATTAAGTTTGTTTTGATTATATCATACGATTTTAACCTCATTTATTATATGAATGAAATTAATTTATAGTATTAATACATTAAAAAATTTAATTTAATTGTATGTGTGTGTGATTTTTATTGGTATAATATAGTTTGTTAAATAAAAAAATATATATTTTTAACAATTATCAATTATGCCGAAACGAATTGAAATTGGTAAATATTATGAATTATTTCAATTTTATCATAATATAACGAAAAAAATATAAATATTTTTCATTAATATAATTATAACAAATTTATTTTTTTATTTATTATTATAATTATTATATTATTTTAGTAATATTTTTAGTATTTTATATAATTATTTATTATTTTGTTTTATATTTTTATAAAATTTGAATTTTTTTACGTATGTAAAATATATAATAGATTGTTATTATATACAATATTTTTTTTTCATTTATTTTATGAAGAATCTTATTTATGTAATAGTATATATTTATTGTTTATTAAATAATATTAGTATAGAGAAACTGAAATTAAAAAAAATAGATAATATTTAGTAGAAAAAATTAATTAAATATAAATATAAATATTTTATATAAATATAATATATAGGTATTATTCCTGATAACTTAAGGCACGAAGAAACTATTGTCCAAATTGCTGAAGCTCTTGATAATTTAGATTCTGCTGTTAATTATATNAGATCGTTTAAAATATTTACAAACTAATTTAAATTTAAAAGCTGTAAAAATGTATTCTGCTGCAAGGTATCCTGCTAGTCATACATACAAGGAATATGAGTTAGCTGTACCGCCTCAGTATGATAATATCAATAAAATACCAAAAGTTTATAAATGTTCTGTACCTATAAAAGATATTTCTGGAGCATATTTATCTTCTAATTGTAAAACAGAAGATGGTCAATATATGACAAATAACAATTTACAAGAAAAGCTACAATTTTATCATGTTCGATCTAAATCCAATAAAGAAGTTTATACAGATAATGAAATGACATTTCCTTTTCATTTATCTTCAATTAGTGCATTCTTGTTCAATAGTATGGATGATCCATATAAAATATCTATGAAACAAACTTCCCACAAATTAAGTGATAAACAACAAATAGAAGATGCACCAGATTCTATTATACAACCATGGTTATCAACTGAAATGGATTTATCTAGTAATTATCTATACACACCAACTTTAGGAGAGGTAAGATTTTTTAATATATTAATTCATAAAATCTAATTTTATATTATTTTTACATATTGCTTATTGATTGTATATTATTATTCAAATAAAAAAAAATTTACTTTTATCTGAAGAATTTATATTAAATATATATGAATAATAAAAAATTGTTATATAAAATATTTTCTACAGGTACCACAGATAAATGTGCCAGCATCACTTCCTGATTTACCTGGAATTGTAGATGATGAAAAATTCATTTTAGATCTTAATTCTCAAAGTCCCATTGCTCCTTCTTCAGCAGTAACAACGCCCACAGTTCGTCTAGATCTTCCAACACCAACATCAACAATGGATGAGAAGGATTCTAATACAAAACTAGATGAAATTCCAAATGTACCTAATTTTGTTGATAGCGATTATTCGAAAAATCTTACCGAGCTTGCTCCGCCACCTCCTCCTCCACCATCAATCTTATTAAATATAACAAATTCGGATTCTTTGACTTCTAACAATAATAGTCATTCATCATTAAATCCCTCGTCATCAACTCCTTTAATTACACCACCACCGCCG